TAAGTTCAACAAAACATCTTTAATCTTTTCGTGTTTGCAATCTCCTAATTGATACAATATGTTTTAAGTCGTCAAGCAGTTACCACTAATATGATTGTAATTAAAGGTATTAATACAATAAATGTATAGCCATAATAATTGTAAACTGAGATAATAATTACCACAGTTAAAATAACACTATAATATTATTAAAGTGATATCATATTCGATAAAATTTTATTGTATGGTATTAAATTACGCGAGCAATTCATATTACTCCTCCTTATTTAATACATTTTCAGGTCCCGGTTTTAATGAAACATGAACAGTATTACAAAATAAAATCTATTTAAACCAAAAAAATAAATTCAATCTCTCTCTAGATATATATCATTTACGACATTTTAAACATTCCAATGTCTCTGTACAGCGCAAGAAGAATCTCAAATTGTATCAACCAATATGATGATATATAGTGTCTTAGATGGATTTTTTCATATTCATTTTTATTGGAGGAAATCAAGATTTCCATAAGTGTAGGAAATGTAAAAAAAATTCTTGAAATAATAATATGAAGGAAGTATTAGATTAATTACAAGTAACATATGCTTTAATACTATAATATTAATACTAAATTAATAATACATAGCGTAATTAATAGCGTCTATTAATTTTTTTGATGAGATGTCCTAATGTGAGTATAAGACTGATAAAATGTTATTAATAGAGAACATATAAAAGATGTTCTCTTTTCTCTATAATATTTCATATTAAAACAATTATAACGCTTAATAGGTGAATATCAATATGAACATAATTATCTAGACAATCATTGGAAATAGAAAAATATACCACAAGTTCAATTATTAGTTCTAAAACACAGTAGTTTGATGAAAGGAAACGAAAAGAAAATTTTACTATTTATACATATAATTACTACTGTAAGTATAAGTGGATATTAAATTATAAAAGGCCAGTGAGAAGGACAGTCGGTTCAGATTTTTTGTTAATGATTCTATTAAGAACTTAATAAACACAGAAATATTTGGTATCATCATCTAACAATATTTGAAAAACGAGGTAGTTAGCAAACAAGGTGTTCTGTTTTTTAAGCAGGATTATTCTTAATTTAACATATATATCGGCGCTACCAGCTTTAATAACGGATGCGATATGAAAATAATTTGAGGCAGTCATCAATTCTTATTAAACCTCATTAGTATTTGTGATTATTGTTAAAAGTAAAACGAAATCAAAGGTTGTTTAAAAGGAGAATAGAACTATGTTTAAATCTTATAAATATGACATGACGCACGACGGCAAAATTGAGAATTCAGAGTTCAGTGAGTGCGTATCATTGAAGTATGTGATTATGAAGAACCTTCGAGAAATACAGGAGCATTAAGAACAATTGGAGTTTCATTTTAAAATACCATGGAACGCTCTAGAAGAAGTGACATTAGTAACGTCAGCGAGGCTGGCGTCTCTATATTTATTTCAGAGTTAACATATATTTCATAAATATTTCGCAGAATTTCGTGAAAATTTATGTAAAACAAATTTTCATTTTATTAAATAATAAGATTTTCGTGGAAAAGCATACAGTATGAAGATTTTACCTTTTAGGAATGCCAAGCTTCAAACAGACAAAAGTAAATTTATATATACATATTTTGAATTTAATTAAAGTTATATTTTATGAGGATTGACTATTTCCCTCATAACATATATAAATATAGAAGTTAGTGATAATCTGTTATAGTATAATATCGAGTCGTAAAAGAAATGGCATTCCCTAGTCTCAAACAAGTGAATTCTCCGAATCATATACCACCTATAGGTAAGCTAGCTATTAAAATGTTTATTATTGTGTTTTTGTCGTGTGTGTTAAATTAAATGTCATTAGTGCCAAAATAATTGCCAAAATAAAATACTACCAAATAAGAAGATATTTCACATACAGTATAATAACAGTATGAAATCATTGCGATTGTGTAAATTTCAATACCTTTTCTCATAGCTTTAAACATATTTTTTACTTTTGTGTTTTAATTAAAGTATTACTCGCCCGATTCTATAACAAAAAATGCTAAGCCTATAAGACTATATCTGGTTTTCAAAATTTTTACGATTTTACTTAAATTGATTTCTTGATATAAGAGAAATTTTTCAAATTGTGTCTAAATAGTTACATTATTCTGAAAATAAATGTTTTTTCTGAAAAAATAAACTTAATTTCATTAATAATTTTTTTAATTAAATGTGTAAAAATCAATTGAAAGAAATTAAAATCAATTAAAAGAAACCAAACTTTAAAATATGAGTTTTAAATTTATCGATGAACAAACAAATAAATAAACAAAGTTAACAAACTATTCGTTACTTTGTTATTCTAACTTACCAAGGTCGAGCTGACTACATATATGTATGTGTGTGTGAGTGTGTATATTGTATGTATTTGTATGTAGCCTGAAGTAACTTATTCACACCATCCATCATTTTCAGTGAGTCCTTTTCTCTCATGATTTTCACTCCAATAAACCTCCTTCAATCAGAATATTATCTGAATCTTCATGCTTCATAACAGAACGGTATGGCTAAGATACATAAGTATTTGTTGACTCAAGGTTAGGATTTAAACCTATTTTTTGCCATAAAAAATAACAATGTAAGTTAGGCTAAATGTTTCTTGTATGTTGTTTTAGTGTTTGAAATTAATATTACTCTCAAATATATAATTAATTTTGAATGTATATTTTCCTGAATATTTTAGACTTATTTGGTTTTCTTTAAAAAAATTGCATAAATTTCTATTCATAAAAAAAAATTGCAACCTCGTTTATCCATAAAAAGTAGAATAACAAGTAATAGAAAGTTGTATTTTTAATGATTAATTTAAAAATACCGCTGTAATAAAAATCTAAATCAATTAATAAAGTTTTCATACAGTAGTAGAGCTTATTAATTCCATAGAAATGTTTACATAAATATTTTAAATATATTTTTTCCCCGCCGCAAACTATATTGATCTTCTCAGTCATAAACTTCAATCATTTTCATCTCGACATATTATTAAATGCTATCAAAAATAAGCGATTCATTAAAAGTAATTTATTCGTAAATTACATATTAAAAGTCATTCAGCCTTCATAATCACCTCTTCCGTGTCAGTAATGTGAATCGTATCAGGATCTGAGTCCTTACACGATTATTATAATAATTCTCTTTATAACTTAGTATATTATATATATAATACTTATAGTATAGAAATATTTATAGTATAGAAATATATATTTATAGTATAGAAATATTATGTTTCGTGAAAATTTCTCCTTTTATTGGAGACTGTTATATATATTTATAATATATTTTCTTTTATTATGTTTTACTATCCACTCCCTTAACACGTTAAAATGCACCATTTCTTGTCTTTCATTCATAAACTTAGATTGTTAATATAATATTTAGTGAGGGTACGAAATAGTGTTAGAATTCAAAAGAGTATAAAATATTATTATCAATTATAATAAAAAATAACATACATTTACATTTAGTTATATCTTAATATAAAATCTATATTTTAATTTAGCTCTATAAATGTTATGATCAATCAGCCAAAAGCTCATATATGTATATATTTATATCATTTAAAAAAACTGTCTTATCAAACAAAATATTTTGAAAGATTTCGACTCAATTTTAATCATTTATAGCAAGACCAATCCTTCGCTGGTTTGTTTTGAATCAACCATTGAAATAAAACGTAGAATTAGGTTAAAATACATCAAGGGAATTATTACAGCATTATAGCTAAATCAACTCAAAGTATCATTCACATTGATCCAGTAGTTTTTACGTAAGTAAGACACAGTCAAGCGGATTAAGCTTGATGATATTAAGATTTTTCTTCAGGTAAGTGCCTCGCTTTAAGCACCATATAAATCGGATAAAATACGACCTTATTATATACCCTTATTTCAGACTTCATTACTCTTTTTATGAAGGTAATTGTGTTATTTTTATCAACATATTTCATACTTTATATCTCTTTGTTCCTGCTTAGAAATGTTGTAATAATATTATATCACAACCCATTGTGTTATCTTTGTCTGATCATCATGTAAATTACAGAGTGTTTCTAGTTACCAGGATATTTTAATATGAATCTTCTCATATAACATTAGAATAATAACACTATAGAAGCTATATTAAATGCTTATCGTCCTAGAAAATACTCAAGCAACAAGAAATATATATTATATAGATATATATTAAAGATTTAAGTCAATTTATTTATGTTAAATATAAATGTATAGTACTGAAATTGCCTTTAACTCTTTATACTTTACAAACAGGAATGGTTATAAAAATATTGAATTCAACTCCCGTTTGTTATCGAATAAAATATGTATAAATTTTAGTCACGAATAATGAAATGCAATGTTGCTGTCTGTGTGTCTCAAAGAAACTATTGTAACGTGAACTCATTACGATAACTTCAACTGGAGAATAACTACCACTGAATATTTGTAAAGAAAATACATATAATTAAAACGGTTGCATAAATAGTAAAATATATATATTCCCAGTCTAATGCTATATAGTAAAGAACTCTCAGAGATATTTTCTTGTCGATTTTTACACAAAACCTTAGTCACTTGTCAAGATATTTTCTAGTTAACTATACATGGCATATAACTTCTTTGAACAATATATTATGTCCGTTGATCTGTGGTTTAGCATGTCTTAATCTAACCCGAAAAAAGTATTCATATATTCAAAAGCCTATTTAATCCTTCTAAAAAAATCCTTATCATAACCTAAAATCATCGATAGAAAGTAGTGTATTTCCTAACAAAACAATTAATTTCTCGACAAATAAAGAAAGGAGGAAAGTTCAGAGATATTTTTTCTTTTACTATTGCTTACTTTTCTTATATTCGGTTTCTCATAACATTAAATATGATTAATATTTTTGTAAATTTTTTTATAATTTATTCAATTATATATTATAATATATTTCAAGCCACAAGTCCAGCTGCACGACATTCCCCGTAACGTTTGAGCCACACGCGTCCACTCAATGATTGATTAAGCGGCCTGCAATCTCCGCCGTTACTATTAATCGCCAAGAAGTCATAGCAATTGATCATGCCATCATCATTACAGTCCTGGAACAGAATAAATCAATTACTATCAATACATATATATGTTCGATTAAATTAATTGATAACAACGTCAACGAAAACAAAGTCCTCTTCTTGCAGTTAAACATTTGGAGACTGAAAACATAAAAGAAATACAATAAATTTAAGTTCTTTTAAAGCAAATTTTTATTAATGATTATGAGACAGAAGCAGTTAAAAAGAATAATTTTGATTATTACATATACTCATTCAAAAATTACTAGTAAACGGTGATTCGACCAGTGCTGAAAAATATTAGAGCAATATTTACAAATTTTAATTAAGGGTTTAATTATTTTTTATGTCTAATATATTACATATACTAGTAAATTCTGTCGGAACCTCAGACTTACCGTGGCCATAGCTATATCAGTTCAAAGTGTACTTACCGAGTAAAAATTGAACATGTTAAAAGATCTGTACTCATAAGAACAATTAAATCAACGTCACCTTTGAAAACTTCTGAAGATAGCCTTTCATTATATCCTGAGCGCAGAAGTAGTTATTAGCGCAATCCTTCCAAGCTGAAAGAAATATTTAAATAAGAAGACTCATTAAAATATCAATTAATTATTAACAAGTTATAAAATATAATATTCGTTTAACGCACCATCATTTCTATCGGGATCGTCTCCTTGTAAGGTTATATTACCAGCTTCTATCCAGTAAGACTTTGAGATATTGAATGGTCCACAATATTCGTCACTGCACTCACTTGATATTGTACAATAAGTGTATACGTGACAGAGACAGCGAAAACAACCGTATGTTGTATTTAAGTTTGACAAATCTGTAAATAAATAATTATTAGAAAAATGGGTTCTAAGCTTCGTCTTAATCAAATTATATTCATTTAAATTGAACCTTCTGGTTAGTTATAAGTAGCATTGTTGGAAGTTATTTAAAACAATTTCTTGAAAAATAACATTCAAATATACTTTTACTATTTACTTAAGTACTACTAATATATTTTTTTTATGTCAAAGGTGGCAAACGAGCAGACGGCCTACTTGGTGTAAGATAGTACCGCCGCATATGTACATCCGCAACATGTTTGTTGCGAATGCGTTGCCAACCTTGTTTTTTTTAGAAATAAGAAAGGGTTGGAATAAGGAAATAGTAGGAAAGGGTGGGAAATAGAAAAAGGGCAACCGGCTCTCTCACTCATCGGACGAAACGCAGCCACTAAAGGCTACTTCACGCCGGTCTTCTATGAGAGGGTGGTACTTCCCCGGGGAAGCCGTCGAGCCAGCCCATGTTCGAGCTGTAGTAACTTACCACAGCTAAGCTCTACCACCTCTAAAAACCGTTTATGTCAATAAGAATATTTTCTAAACTTACAATTACTAAAAATTATTACCTGCACATCCAATAAAAAACAAGGAACCAGTGATAAGCAGAAGTGATAGTATAGAAGTCTTTATTTCAGTAAGCATGATGATTAGTTGTTATTATAAAACTTGTTCACTTAATTCTAAATGTCAACCACAGAATATCAAAAATATATTAAAATTTTCTTAACAGAATCACAGTTGACGTATCTTATAAAACACATAAGTGTCTTATATAGTTTAATTAATATAAATATTTAAAAAATACAATTTTAGGAAAAGAAATATAGTCTCACCGAGATCAGATGCAGAATACTTCTAAAATAATTCTTACCTTAAATATTATTTATAATATTAAATACAAAAAGGTTATTGAACTCATAAATAAATCTTTAATTGTTTTATTATTATTGTTTTACATTTCAGTACAACGGGTATAGGGGAACTAATTGATAATCACAAAATAATATAAAATATATATTGCACAAAATTATGTATATTGACTAGTGTATTCAAAATTTCTTTATATAAGAATATTAAAAAGTCAATAGAAAAATCATTAATATATGATATTTAATCAAATAAACAAAAAAAAATGTTCATCTTGTAAAAGTATAACACAATGTAATGAGATATAGAAAACTCAAGCTGAGAAGATATATCTAATATTTATAGAAAATTAAAGAAGTTGTTGACATCAAAAGAAAAAAAAATCATGACAGAAACATATTTAAATTATATAGTTTTCATCTGAAAAGAAATATTTTTCTGATAATTATCGTTTTGTGAGACCTAAATTATAATTATTTATGCAACAAAAAAATTACACAAGATAAGTACTGTTCAAACAAACGAATCAGCTGGAACTCCTTAAATATATAATTTAACGAACTTAGACCACAGACCAAACTTGTTTATTCAATACAACCTTTTGTGGTAAGAGGAGCCACTTTCCTGGACCTGCTTATATGTGAATAAAGTCTATCTAGTGAGGGATCTCGTTAAATATTATAAGAAACAATATAATTAAAAATCTAAATTAAAAAAAATTAAATTATAGCTTTTGTATTATCGGTTTAGTAAATCACTCAATAACACCTCATCTCCACAATAAAACCACAAACAACATTACTTTATATAAGCTGTGGCCGTTCGTCACGTTTTGATATTATCGTATATTCACTTATTTATCAATAAATCATCACATAATTATTTAATACTGAACTTTATTATAATAAAGAAGTGATCTTCGTATGCACATCTTATTTTTTTACTTTGATATAATTTTATGCTAACATTACAATTAACAACAAAAAAACAAACATTATTACCTCTCTGTTGTTTTCATTGTAGTCCTTTACATGAAAAGCCGAATACGATACGTCAATAACAACATTCATATCATCAACCCAAAATATACTTATCTTTATTAAGGTATCCTCAAATAGCACTATCACTGAAATAGACAGCAACAATGGATATAAATACAAGTCAAATTATTATTATAATAATAGGAAACTGAATCTCGAGGGAAAATTACGTCATTTCCCTGTCGTGACGTTATCCGGGATAATATTGTTATTACCTGGTTTTGAGAATACTAAATATGTTGTTTTTATGCATATGAATTTATTTAAAAAAATCATCATCCAACACATTAGAATCTTATTGCTTGGAAATTGGTTGGATTTTTTTTCCAAATTATATCCATATAAATTGTAGATAACTACGAGTATCCTTATACAATGAAATGAGGAAACTATGACAGAAACATCCTATTTAGTCCACGATTAAAGGTATACATCTATCTTAATAACACTTCATAGGAAAAAGCCTCTTTTATTTTATTTCGGAACAGGATCTTTCACACTAATATATAAATGGAAGATATATACTTGCTTACTTACTAATACTTGCTTTTCCACTATTAAGATCAGTTCGCATACAAACGTTGTAATAAAAACAATAATTAATGAAAAAAATGTAAACAGTAAAAAATATAACGTACACCCCAGTTTTTGACCTCTTTATTTCAACTGTAAATAACAGAAGCTGAAATAGCTCAGTTGGGAGAGCGTTAGACTGAAGATTTAAAGGTCCCCGGTTCAATACCGGGTTTTGGCAAAATGACTTTTGTTAATGAAAATGTAATGTCATTTGAGTTACGTTAATTTCGATTCCTTTGCAATTGCTTCTTTGTATATTTCTAAGTGCTTTCTAAAGCGGCTTCATTTTTTCTTTGATTGCAATTTGAAACATATAGTTATATACATATATATCGAAAGGGCTTCGGTATGAACAATTAATATACTAAAAGCATCACGCTTAACACGAGGAATATACAATCTACTGGATAACCTTACTAGGCTGTAAACAGTTTTTCAGAATAATGTTCACTAAATAAATAATTCTTCATCGGAATTTCATCAAATGACGCTATATTTAATATTAAAAACAGCTTTTGTTCGGCGCGATTAAAAATAATTCAATAACTACACCCAAGGTTTTTTATACAATTTTATTTTATTAAAATACAAACACTCGATATCATTTTAAATATTCGTTCCTCACATGAGATTAACATTATGTACAAGTCATATATTATCTTCTTCTACCTGACAATTTCCCGGCTATAGCCAGGGTCTGCCTTACATGTTGTGAATAGTTTTGGCTAATTGTTTTTACGACCGGCCGCCTGCCCGACATCAACCCTCTTTTGGGAATAGAAGTCATATACATATTATGATTATATATAATTCCTGTTCATAAATAAAAATGTGAACATTTGGACCGTCAAGGGAAATTTCAACTAGACATACGAAATACTCTGCCCAGCTGGCTCGAACAGCTTTTTAATGTTAGAAGTTTCAGAAAAAAATACTTGAGAGAGTTTACAATACGACTGGAAAGTTTGGAGATTTACAACATGTCCTGAAATATACAGGGTGACTGAATTACTATCAATATTTAAGGAGAATACTCGGTACATGATTCTCATTCGAATTATGTAAAAAAAATAGGTAGGTACTTAATTTTTGACCAAATTTCCGTATAAATAAATAAAGTGTGAACACGTTCCAAGTGTTCCAAGTGTGGACGCGTGCGGCGGCGTGCTGATACAGCACTACGCCGAAGCGCGTGAGTGTGTGTGTGTGTGTGTGTATACCTAATCTGTAGGGTGTTCATACGATGCGTAATTAATTACATAACTTTTGGTTAACTTTACTTAGAAGTTTATTAATATTTATGTTATATTAATTTTTATTTTGTCAGATATGATCGTCAAATATCACGTCCTCAAGTATTGATAGTAATTCACCAGTCACCCTGTATGCTTAGAAATATAGTATATAGTAGTAGTAATAATATATAAACTGTATTATTTTATATAGAAAAACAGTAAAGATTTAATTTTAAGTAACACAAAATACTAAATATAATTAAAATATAAAAAAGGATGGACTAAATTTAATATATTAACAAGTAAGAAATAGAGCAAACATTAATCAAGTACTCGTTAAATTGATATCAGTTTAAATTTGTATTGCTGTATTTCTTTCTTGAATTTTTCTAAACTCATTTTTCAAAACAAACTTCTTTCTTTTTTTTATCCTACCAACTTGTTTGTTTTAGTTTAGACAAACCGAGTTAGATTAACTAGTGGAATTCAGTTAATTACAGTTCTCTGCAACTTGATTTAGAAGATATATTCCCTTATCCTTTTCATTTTTTTTTTCAAATTTGTCTCCGTACTACCTGTAGCAGAAACAAAATTCTTCAGAACTGCAATAACTTAAACACGTATTAATCTTGGAAATTACTTAACAATAAGAAATATTTATTAATGATAGTAGATTTAATTAATGCATGTATAGAACATATTAAAGTCATACGGACCCTTCTTTATAAACAAATTAACATTCTACAAATTAAAGAAAATTAATACTTAATAAATAAAAGTTATTACAATAAGGATTATTTTATTTATCTGATATAAAAGATTCTACGTTCCTTATAATTTAAACATTTCAATTCCTTAACAATAATTGTTTATTCTTATTACTGAATTGGATCGCCAGTATGAAATATTTACTTTCGTAAGTTGAATTACTCCGTACACATGGTTCAGAAAGGGTTTAATGTTCAGCAAAGTCATAAATAATACGTCCTTTGATAAATAAGATTCATAAGGTTTAATGTGTATGATGTATAGTGTGCGTAAAATGACATCAACTAACACTGCCATTAAATTATAGTCAAAGCCTTCCCTAGTCAGAGATGGACAAACAGACAATCAAAAGCTTTGTCAAACAATGAAGGAGAAAACAATACCTCCTTCATGTACACATGTACTTGAGAATACAAAAATATTATTACTGTATCTTGATAGGAAATCAAATACCATTAAATAAGAAATGAATAATCAAGCTTCGATTTAGTCTAACAAGGCGATCATTTATACTGCATATATTTAACTTGCTAACTAAAATCATTAAAACTCTTATATGTTGTATACAAAATCCCTTTTGGTAGTACATTATAGGCGTTACTTGCTTGATTTTTTAAAAATACTACATAAGGAATATATATATATATATATATATATATATATATATATATATATAAATATTCCAATAATTTATAAACATATTGTATCACTGAAGAGGATTCTCATACCTATCGAACTAAAGGCAACTATTTGGTCACATATTAAAGAAATAAATTTAATTCCAGTCTTCATTTATTACACTGTAGTCGAACAAGTGTAACAAAGTGTAACGTTTATGTGACGCTTTGAATTGTAACATTGAATTGAATGTATTTTTATAAAAATAACAAAATAAATAATATCTACGTTAGTTCGCTTTAGACGGTATATATTTTATATATATTTATAGTATATACTTGTTTATTTAGTGAAAAACTGGATCTCGTCCAAGTGTTGCCTTCGCTTAATACCGTACATTCGACAGCCAATTACTGGGACACCATTTACATCTATCCTGTTTTCATTTGAGTTCTATGTGTTTTTAATAAATTAGAATGATGTATTATTATTTAATTTCGATTTTGATTCTGTGAATAAATTAATATCTAATATTTAG